GTGTTTTATTTAACCTATATTTGGGACACTTGAAAATTGACCTTTGATAGTTTAACCAACTTGTATGCATCCGCTTGCTTTGGCATTTTACATTCTGTTGATCATGTTTCATGAAAATACTGCAAAAATACATGCACACGGTTTTTTTAAATTGTTATATGGCATGTCAAAAAGTTTATTGTTAATGAGAAATGCAGTCCCGTTCTCATTTCGTTCTTTTGATTAAAAGGCAAGCAATTGAGAATGACCATGAGCGAGGTAATTAACATTGCAAAATGGCAGAGGAGGCCCCAGAGGATAAAGTAAATAGTACAAATCTGCAATGTTCTCGTTTTTCAAAAATGCTCGACAATATTATTCTGACATGGCGACGTGGCCCTCTTTGGTACGATATGTTTAGTGTCATTCTGATACCCATCACAGCGTTCTGCCTTCAACTATAGCTAGAAATATGCTTCTCGAGAGAAGCTAAATAGAAGGTCTTGATTTATCATGATGGTTAAATATCCGGTACGAATGTCTGTCTCAAAGTCTGTATCATTAGTCATTTCTTGCGTAATTGATGCTGTGTTGAACAAGTGATATTTTGGTGATATGCATGCACTGTTAAATGTTAGTGAACGGTCATGTACCGCATTTGTTATGGATATCACGTAGTCAACTTTATAAATAAATGTTTATCCTTTATCGTTCCTTGGTTAAAAGAAAAAATCGACATTTCCTTCAAAACATGTTTTTCTTGGTATGATTATTGTTATATTATTATATTATTATTATTATTATTATGAGCTTTATTATACTTGTATCCCACATTTGGGCAAAGTGTACAGCTTAAACAGAAGAAAATGAAAAAGCTTAACTAATTATCTATATAGTATATTAACTAATCAAAGGGTGCTTGATCATTGCAAGATTTTATTGGATGCATTTCGTGTTTTTTTCTCTCTCGATAAAAATATTGGATATATATTTTGCTAGTATATTTAATATTATTCCCTCTGAATTAAATAGAAACATTAATTTATGTTCCACGTTATTCATGTTTTCTAAATTTTGACAGTGTTTTTTTATTTTATCCATATAACTTGACCGAACATCTTTTAACGTATTGCATTCTAATAGGAAATGGCATTCTGAACCAGTTTTCTTGTTACACATTAAATATTTTCTTTCTTCAATAGGGGTAATTGGTTTTGTGTAACGACCTGTTTCGATTTCTAATTTATGTGCGCTAATTCTTAGCTTTGTCAAGTTATTTCTGTCTAATTCATTTTTGATTAAATCCAAGTAGGGTTCCTTGTTCCATTTTGCTTTTATTATCTTATAAAACCTCAATTTACCATTATTTGAATTTATTTTAGTTTCCCAAAATTGTATGTATCTATTTTCCAGTAATTTCTTAATTTCTCTTGGTTTTAAGTTTAAATAGTTTGGTGAAGTACCATTGTAAATATATTTAAGTACATCATTGATGTGCGTGAGCCATGATTGTTTATTCATATCTGTCAGTTGTTTATTTACCTCAAGGGCTTCACGTAGAAGTGAGTCGGTTCCTTTATTGTTAATATGATTAAGATATTTCATTTGTTGATAAAACAAAGAAATAAATAGTGGAAACCTACCTAAATCGCCTCGTGTAGCGTCATTACTGGCCTTTCTGTTAACACCGAGTATCGATTTCATAAATGATATATGAAGAGATTCAAATGTTATTCCATCATATCCCTTTTCTAATGCCCATTGTGGGTCTTTTTTAATTTTTCTCGAGTTTAAGATACTCGTACCCCATATATCAGATCCATAGAGGCATATGGGCTTTATGAGTTGATCAAATAGTTTTAAGCATAATGATGGTTTCATATTACCATTAGAAATTAGACTTAATAATTTAAATTTTGCCTTTTCAGCTTTGTCTTTGACATGCTGGGCTGCAGGTCTCATTGACCCACTTATGCTTAATTCCATTCCCAGGTAAATGTATCGTGAAACAGATTCTATTTTGTAATTTCCTATAAAGAAGTGATTATCAATAAGTCTACCATTTTTATTCATTACCATAATTTTGGTTTTATCAGTGTTGATATTTAAGTGCCATTCTTCACAGTATTTTTCTAATTTGTCCAATTTGGTTTGCATTTCATCTTTTGAGGATGCGATAATTACTAAGTCATCGGCAAAAAGGAGGCTTCCAATTCGCGTATTATTTAATAAAGGGTCTGTTTTGAGATCTAATGTTTTAATAATGTCATTTATATATATATTAAATAGAAGAGGACTTAGGGGGTCCCCCTGTTTTATTCCCTTGTTACAGTCAAATTCATTGGTAAATAAACCCTCATTATCTAGTCTGACTCTTGCTTTTGATTGTGAATATATATGTTTTATCATTTTATAGAATAAACCGTTTACCCCCGATTGCAAAAGTTTCAAAAATAATCCATCATGCCATACCGTATCGAAAGCTTTCCTCAAATCAACAAAACACATATATATATTCCCTTTTTCACTTAGTACATATTTATCCACGAGGGTTCGTATTATGAACATGTGGTCAGTTGTTCGTGCTTTCTTTGTGAAACCGGCTTGATTTTCCGATATTATTTTTCGGTCATGTGCAAAGGCGTAAAGTCTGTTGTACAAAATTATTGAAAATAATTTGCCAAAGCAATCAGAAATAAAAATACCTCTGTAATTGCCAGGGTCTTTTGTCGTTCCTTTCTTAAATAACGTAACGATTGATGAAATATTCCATTTCTCAGGGAAAACTGTTTTGCTTAGTAATATGTTAAACATTTTACAGATAACATTATTTAAAACTGAGTATGACGCTTTAATCATTTCATAGCTAATGCCGTTAAAACCCGAACTCTTGTTGTTCTTTAATTGCTTAACTGCCTTGTAAACCTCGTTTTCTGTTATTCTGAAGCTAAGTTCGTCAAAATGATTGTCATTTTCTATTGATTTAACAATTTCGTTGACTTTTTTGTTGATTTCGGTATTTTTATCCTTTTCAAATAATTTGGAAAAATGTTCATGCCATTTCTCTGGTGTTATATACGCGGACTTATTGTTTCCGTCTTTGTGCCTTAGTTGCTCAAGTAGGGACCAATATTCTTTAGGGTCATTGTCATAAAGTTCTTCTAATTTATTTATCATATTAGTTTTAAATTTCCTCTGTTTTATCTTACAGCATTTCCTATATTCCTTTAGCAACTTGAAGTAATTACCTCTAATCATATTATCATTTGGTGATTTTATTAGTTTTGCTCCAATTGACTTAACCTTTCTTTTCAGTATACTGCAATCATTATCAAACCATTTTTGAGATATCGAGTCCCCTTTCTTTTTACAGAGTAACTTTTTTCGTAGTGTTCTTTTTGCTGTGTTAATTATAATTTTTTCGAGCTTGTCAATACAATCATCAATATCATAGGTGTCGTTTAGCTCGTCATTGAGTTCATTTATATCATTTCGTGTTTTTAAATTATTGGAGAGGTCCGTTTTAAATTGTACCTCGCGACGGGCGTCCCATTTATATTTGATTGGTTTCATTTTGATAGTATGCCCATTGTTTTTAGTCCGATTGTTACCGTGGTCGTTTGGTATTCGTACTTGCATTAATAGAGAAATCTTGCAATGATCAGAGAGCACACAAAGGTTATCATGAACCTTGAAGTACATAATATCTGGAAGCATATTTTCATGAATAATACAATAGTCAACTACACTGCTTCCGTTCCATTTATGGCAGGTGAATCTACCGGGCGAATCCCCAAGTACTCTGCCATTTATAATTCGTAAATTAGATGACCTGCATAGGTCTAGTAGCTTCTTACCCGAAGCATCAACAACTGAATCCATGCTGGAACGTTCATTGATGGTGACATCGTTGGGACAAAGCAGAATGTTTGGGATATGATCATCATAACCGTGATTATTTTCAAAATCGCGTACTTCACCTGTTCTTGAATTAAGATCTCCCATAATCATAACATCACCTATATTAGAATATTTATTTATTTCTTTTGTCAAAATCTCGTATGGGTCATCCCCTGAGTTGAATTTACCTTTTGGGTTATAGTTTGCAGGTGAAAAATACGTTATACATAAGTAAATGTCATTATTTGTATTAAAGAACTTTTTTGAAAGTTTAACCCACAGGATATCTGGTGTCTTCGTTTTGATTATTGTCGTTCCTGCTATATATGTATTTCTTATAAGTACAGCTAATCCGCCATGACGTTTCCTGCCAGATTTAGCTCTATTTACCGAAAATGATGTGAAGCCCTTAACTCTATCAAAACATATCGGGTCTTTTTCATCACCATGTGTTTCGGTTAGACAGACTATATCATGTGTTATTAATTCTTTGATAAAATCATTATCGTGCAATTTGTTCCTTACTTTGCTTTCAATTCCCTGAACGTTCCAGCAAGCGATATTTAAATGTGTGGTAATGGTCGTATTTTTATATATCATTATAATACGTAAATATGTTAATTAACATTCAACATCTTACATCTTACATCCCGACATACTGAAAATATAATGTAATGATTGCATATAGTGTACTTCTGCTGATAACGTCTTAAATGCGTAGAAGTATTATACATTCTTACTTGAATTTATAATATAATTAAACGTCTTATATAACTTATTTAGTCACTGATCCGTCTAAATTATACAGTCATTTTATCTGACTGAAGTGTCTTTGAAACTGTGACCTACATGTATATCCTGGCTTTAAACCATTCTGGAGTATATTGATTACATATCGAATACATATCGGAAACTACTACTACATTATACTACAATACAATATAGTACAACACAATATAATACTACATTATACTACAATACAATAATATCGCTGGTCTTGAGTGAGTAGAAGTTAACAATCCGTTTATGGTTGTAAATTTGCTGACCAGTCTAGAATACAAACAGTTCCTTTATCGATAGTATCTTTGATAATATGCCCTACATGTATGTCTTGACTTAAAACCGTAAACGGAATGAATGAGTAAAATTCGTGATTACATTCTTAATTACCATAGTTTTACAAAATAATGAAACATCTTAACTAAATAACGTTTAATTCGTCTAGTGTAGTCACTGATGATCAGTTTAGATTACCACCAGGCCCCTAATCTAGTATATTTGATACTGTTGCCTATATCTTGGTCGAGATCCATAAAAGTTATTGTTGCTGGTCATGTTATTGTTGTTGCGATGTGCTGGTTGGGAGAGATTACAAAACTTTCTAATCGTGCGAAGTATATTCCCGCAGAGCATTCTAGTTCCTTGTTCGTTAATATGTACGTTATCTCTGTAGAGATGGGGTTTCGGTTGGCCATTCAGTCCTAGATTGTCATTGGGGCAGCATGTGACATTGTCGTTATCGTGGAATAGAACTTCCAATTGGCTAGCTATAGATTTCTGACGGAGGTTCCATTTTGGGTTGTCTTTTCTCGGTGGTGGTAAGGACACTATAATCTTCGAGTTCGGAGCCTTTGTTTCGTTGAGTTTGACCAGTTCTTCCATCGATTTGATGATCCTTTCATCTGATTGTACTGATTTGACATCATTACTTAACACCTGGAACACTGTTATGTCTGGTTTTGAAGTTGAACCATTTACGTAATCTTTAGCCTGTTGAATTGTATAGGCCTGTTCAACTGACACGTTAAGTCCGCTCATCCTCTTGCCATCCACATGGGACAAAATGCTTGATCCGATTAGCTTAACAGTTGGTTCCTTCTCGCTATTCTCATCGTTTGTTATTTCTATTAGATTGTCAGATTTCCTGGTTACCACTGTGTAAGGCGTGTCGTCTTTCTTCTCGTGTGCTAATTTTTTGCACTGGAGTTTGAGTTCAAAAATTTCCTCTTCCTTATCTTCTAAATACTGGTTTTTATTTTTTATTCTTTGTTGTAGCTCTTCCATTTCATTCTTATTTGATCTGATAACTGAATCCTGTTTCTCCACTTTCTTCCTCAGTGTGTTAAGATCGTGAAGTTCATCATCTTGTTTGGATATTACTTGCATCTTTGATTGAATCTTTTCATTTAGTTCTTCGATTTCCCTGTTTTTTGAACTTATAATTGTTTGTTGGTGATCAATTTCACTTTGATACGCCTTTATTTTTCTGGCTTGGTCTGTAACAAAATCAGCTTGTTCTTTTCTTATCTTTCTAACTCTGCGTAATTCTGTATCATGCTCGCAAGTCGATTCTTCTCCTGAGCATCGCGTATATGAACCATTGTTCTGTCTGCCCCTACAAGTGGTATAGATTAGATAAAAAGTTACATTTGAACGTCAACAAAAAAATTGACCGAACTAAAGCGTGGTGAAATTCAAAATGGCCGCCTCATGAACATGGGACTAAGTGTACATCTTTCTTTAATATTATTAATAAATTTCTGTATGTACATATCTATCACGTAAAATTTATGAACTAGTATTGTTGGTGTATTTGTGACAAGCAATACACATGGCAGGAATGAGCAAAATAATTTTGCTAATTAGAAACCATTTATTAAATGTAGATAGATATACGACGAGTAATATAATGACATAGGGTTTCGACATTTCGAAAATCACCCTTGGTATACGCAGCTAACGAAAATTGACCGGTACGGGTCAAAAGCTGGACCGGTACGGGTTAACGGTATTATTTGAATTTAAAATAGCCATAACTTGCTCAATATTGACTTCCTCGTGTCTAATTTGAAATATATGATGCCTCCCGATGCTTTTAAGTACCCCAATTTTTTACAGATTTTTAAACGGACCAAAACTCTCTAAATGCGCATTTATGCTCTTTTCTCTCGAGAACGACTGTCTCATTTTCACGATAACTTTTATTTAGTACTTCTAACATATAAGATCTATTTTTCCCCATCAAGGTATGATGTAAATGACATGCTATTTACATCTTGTGAGTTTCAATGACGCGCGTTTGATTTTATAAAAAATGCCAAACTTTGTGACAAAGAATTTCATCCTGCTTGCAGCGAGAAGACGGACCGGTTCGGGGCAATCTGCTTGTAGCGAGAAGACGGACCGGTTCGGGGCAATAGCTGATGAAATTCGTTGTCACAAAGTTCGTTCTCGAGAGAAAAGAGCATAAATGCACATTTAGAGAGTTTTGGTCCGTTTAAAAATCCGTAAAAAATTGGGGAACTTAAAAGCATCGGGAGGCATCATATATTTCAAATTAGACACGAGGAAGTCAATATTGAGCAAGTTATGGCTGTTTTAAATTCAAATAAAACCGTTAACCCGTACCGGTCCAGCTTTTGACCCGTACCGGTCAATTTCCGTTAGCTGCGTATACCAAGGGTGAAAATGCTGAAATACTGGATTAGACCTATGATAGACCTAACATCAAGAGAAGGAGAGACAAGCTATAGTTCATAGATGAACCTTTTTGCTACTACTTTGTTTGACACAAGATTTCCACTATTATCTAAGGGGAGGCATCAAAAGATCAATGTCTGATAGAAAAATAAATAAATCTAGTTTGGGGGAGGGGGTCAAAGCTATTTCAGTTTGCTATCTGACAAATTTCAACATTTAATTTTTTGGCAATTTCGACTCAAAATGCCTCGGAATGGTTTAAAAATGAAAACTTTACCAGATGCCTTCTTCACCAAGATGCATGCAACATGGAATATTATGCCTATTGTTGTTGTTTTAAGAATCATAAATAAGTTATAGTACTGCCCCCCCCTGAAAGTCCAAATCGAGTCGCTAAAACATGTGAAAAGTCCGCGATCAACTTTCATTGTATTTAGTTTTGAGGGGGAGGGGGGGGGGTCGAACTCAAAAATAGATATATTTAATTAGTTTCCAGACATTGAACTTTTGATGCCTCCCCTAAAGTACTACGCAGCAATGTAATATAGTTTAATTGACATAATCATATTCCTTACAGCTTCCTATATCTTGATCCCGGATCTTAATGTTAAATAACAAGTTATAATTTTGCTTAATTACGACAGAATCTAACATTGTCCTGTTCGTAGCGTGTTTAAAAAATTGTGGAGCGCAATTTTGTTTCTGTTAGTCACGTGGTCAATATATTCCATTTTGACCAATACATGACTCGACTCGACTATTTTAGTTGTAGAACCTCCCTACATGAAGATATAGCCTTTGCACGCTGGGAGCTTATTCCATACTTTTCCTATCATCATATCATAATTGTAGGACATTTCTTTGGTTTATAAACTAGTGATATAGATGTCAGTAACCATTTTTCTTTTCTTTCTCAGTGGAACACTGAAAAATCAGCACAAAATTTTGAAACCCCATGAAAATTTTGTTTTATATTGCAGCCAATGGACATGTTAATGTGTGAAATATTCGGTTGACATTTCATTGTTTTGATTTACTCTATAATGCCATACAGTACTTTGTAAACACAACTTATTAATTGTCGTGATTTTTATTTTTCTGTTTACGTTTTATGTAATTGTTAACGTTTCTATATAAGAACCTAATTGATCATACTAATACTCGTACATGTACGAGTTTGAAACTATTACTTGGTACATATTAAACAATATGATGTAGAACCTATGGCCTGAAAGTCTCGGAGCCACCGTGATTAATGCATCCCTATGTACTTAATAAATGGTATGTATTTTCCGAAAAACTCCCTATCACTAAATCGAGTACTGTCTTGAATAAGAATCTTTTTCTCACCGAAGAGGTCCATTTGGAATTGTTGGGTAGGTTAATTATCAAACTAAAAAACTAATTAATTTTCCCTACACTACTCACTTCTCTATAATGTTATAATTCTAATTGCTGACGTTCAAGTGCATGGCAATGAAATAACAAAACTTGCAAATGACAAAATAGGACATATCTCATTATCTTTATATATTTTACATTGAGTAATGAACTTTTTCATAAATGTCTGACCAGAATTAAACATGATCTCATTTTGCCAATAAGCAATTTATGGGCTAATAATCTTCACCATATTTCTTAAATTAATATAGAGTCCGATATATCATACGACTTATAATGTTGCCCTTGTTTAGCAATTGACGGATGAACATTGTTTAAATATAGCAGGAAATTTGTATTTGTTGCTTGTAAGTGTATATAAACATTCATTGGTCAAACTATTACATTTCCAATCTTTTTCCATTATAAAGAATATGTAACTCCTATTCATAAGAGTTTCGGATATCATGAAGTTTGGATCTTGTATATCATATCAAGACACCGTTTTAACCAAAATTTTATTTATATTTGGACTCTAAAATGCTTTTCTGGTCAAGGTGAAATCTAAGTGCAATGATTAGTCGTATTTGTAATGGCACTGCCAATTCTGATAAATTGTTATTCTATTCATAAAGGTCGCCTATCTGAAAAGTACATTAAACTAGCTTTTATCAGCTACTTTGGGTAAAGGCGGATTAGAATTCAATCAATCTTTAGTTTGATCATTTTGAATCTCATAGCTGAAGATTATGCTGTTTTTGTCACATGGGCCAGTAGCATCATCAAATCGACGCACGACTTGTTTTGTTGTGTTGCTAAATAGCGTAAATGCCAAAATGGAAATACAAAAACGTATGGCAAAGCACCGTATAAAAATCCAAGAGCATAACAGCGTAACGAGTCAGTAAAACAAATCACCAGTATCTAAAAAGCGTCCTATTGTAGAAGAAAGCCATGTTTAGCATCCACCTTTCTGCAGGTTTCAGGAACCATTACACAATGAAAATTAAATTCGTATCATTGGGTTTCATTATTATTTGTAAAGCTATTTGCGCAAAGGTCACTGGTACTCACCTAGTTACGCTGACGATACGTCAGCGAAACAAGATGGACAAACTTCCGGGCTTCGTTTTCGGTGAGATATTTTTATTTCTCGATTTTACACCATTTATAAGTCAAGTTGTGGACAATAATTTGGCTCAAAGTTAAAGAAAGTGGTCTAGTTTGAGAATATTCTGGCGGTTCTATGTTTGATATATCAACGAAGACGCAATTCACATATTTAGTCCCTCGCTTTTGTTACGTTGACGTAAGATCAATGTAACGTTGACGAACGTGTGACTTGGAGCTGTTGTTACTTTGACGAACCATATTAACATTGGCGTATATTGGGCAACAATCTTGAATACATAGTTCGACTATTTCAGAGAGTCTTGGAAGTCCTAAAATCACGAGGGTGAGGAACTGGGCGTTCAGAGACAGGTACTCGACGAGAAATGAGGATCCTATATTTACAGATCCCATCACTTTGGTGAGAAATGCAGTAAGGTTAAAACTTGCAAAATGAGGGACATCGAATACAAATTGATTCGAACTTAAAGTTGTACTCAAACCATTTTTACTCGATTTAGTTATGCCATCTTACCGTATGAAGGCCGCGCTTTATGATAGTGAACCATCAATAATTCCAAAAGTTCATTTTATCATGATATTGGTGATAAAAAGTCAGCACATGTCTGTTTTCGTGGCAAAACTGATTTCATTTTCAGAGCGGGATTTTACGTCACGTGACAATGACGTGCGTGATTGAAACATTTTAATCAATTCCTTGTATATGTTATGAATGATATTGCAGTGCTCTTTCCGAAAGAAATTCTTTTTGTGAAGGTCAATCAATTAACAATATTTATTTGGCACTTGACATGCGTGCGAATGTTGAACTAATATATTTCTTTTTTAGTTCAGCCTTCGTAATAGTTTGCAACAGCAACTTTTCGACTCAGCGCCAGAATAACTTGGCACACGGTAGATCAAAACTGTCATACAAGTAGTCAGGTGACATCAAAAAGTGAGTAAAAATAACAACATTTCAGAGGCATTTCAGAGGTTGACGGTCTTGTCTTAATAAATCTTTTTGTGGGGAAATATCACAAGCTTTGTAGTCAAAATAACAAAATGGATGTTTTTGTTTTAGAACAAGATAATAAGAGATTCCTAAATTGGTTTTAGTACAACTTTTAACTTAAAAATAAAAAATGCAGCGATGACACAATTTCGTTTTTTGTCTCCACCAAAAGTGATATAGG